ATTTTACCAATGGCCGACGATAAATCAAAGTCGTGCAATGCGACTCCCCCCTGACATAGATTTGGTCTCTCGTGTTCTTGCTCCTCATTGGTTAAGAATCAGTCGATATATCACGTCAGCGGACAGAATCCTGTCCGCGAATATTAATGAGATGCCATATTAAAAGCCCAGTATGCAAATCTAGGATGGCTAGCAAATCTATAAACATATTTACCATTTATAATTTCTGCAAATTTTATTAAGAGTGGATGTCAGAAAAAATCAGACATTTTTGAAATTTCGTGGCAAGTGTGAAAATATCGATTTGTCTCATATTTTGAAGTGAGGTAGGCTATGATGTAATACAAACCCCTACACACTTAGTTTTTGAAAATATTGTTTTATTTCCAAGAAATTAAAATATTTCTTTCAGGGCGTCAATATGCCAATTAGAGAGGTCTAAAAATGGATTTTTCAATAACAAAACTAGCCCTGTGGGGTGGCTGGTGGTGGGTCGTGTACACGTTATAAAAATCCTGTGCGGGAGAGTGGTAAGGTCGAAATTCGTTCTCCCCCGAGTCCTACGCAGGTAAGAACCTTGACATAACATGGTAGAACATTTTCTGCAAGCGAAATATTTCCTGCACAAAAATTTCGCTTATAGAAATCTTGGAGGAAGAGGCAAAAGAGTTTTAAATAAATGAATCCCCCATCAAGGGATCATTTTGATCAAGTTTTTTGTGGAGTTCGAGGTTTAAAAGACGATGAAATCGTGGTTTAAAGTGAGTTGTTTGTTCAAATATGGCGACTGCAGTTTCCTCCCTTGTCAGAATATATATACATAAGATCGACATTAGATACCATAGGGAAATTATATAGGAAAACAAGGCGCGCGCTCTTTCGCATTACGGATGACATTATCTCGATCTCGAATTCAAAAAATAATTAATTATTTGATTTTTCCGATTTTATTTTCACCATTCACTTTAATCTAAATTGGGCTCCCTGTGGCTATCTTCGTATTGTTAGCATCTGTACGTTAACCAAAACTTAATACTACTAATGTAATCATTGCTTTTAATAGGGACGAATAGCTTTTCACCAGCATTATATATATTATTGAAAAGTTATAACTAGCTAAAAACTAGTGTGAGCTGCGTCGGTGTTTCTAATGAAACAGTAATGATRAAAAGGTAAATTATACACCGTGAAAAGATGAAAAAACTTACTGRCGTTTCGGACGCTAGTCCTTCGTCGGAGTAAAAGAGAAAGAAGTGGTAGAAAGGAGTGTATATATGATAGAATAAGACAAAAAAAAACCAATGAGAGAATGTGTTAGTTGGTCTACTTATCCTAATATAGTTCAAACTGTCATATTATATCATTGTAACGTAATGTCATAGTGCGTCGTTGTAACATGACACCCGAGTAATGAGACGAACACATACACCTAATTGAAAAAACGTAGTCGGGTTCGAGAAGGTCATATCATCGAAGCTAAGACCGAAAAGGATTTTGGGTACTCCGAAATGTGTATTATATTTGCATCTAGACATGTAAAAATGCACAGTAGAGCAAAGTCGGTCGACTTAGATTAACAACATGCTAAAGCCATGATGCATAAAATGTGCACAGGAAGGGAAAACTGCAATACGCATGAAATTAGCGTAATTGTTTGTCTTCCCATGCTCCCCTTCGGTCTTAGCTTTGATGATATAACATTTTTTTTGAACCCGACAACGTTTTTTCAATTAGGTGTATACATATTCCTATACTCGTACTGTTTATGCGTATCAGATTCCGAATCCTGTGTTGTGTAGGTAGAGAAAAGCTCGGAGAGAGGCGAGGAGAGAGTCGTCGTTGTTTCGAAAAGATGGCGTGTTGTTGTTATTTAAAAAAACAAAAAATCAATCGTATCGACTTCGTTCAATCATCTTTGGTCCTTCGAGCCGGATGATGCTTTCACAGTCGTCTGAAAAATTATATCGTCTGAAGAAGAGAAGAGCTACGTTGAAAGGTGGAATTACTCGAAATAGCAACAAAGCAAGAAATTTGATCGAGCAATATGGAAGCCGAACTGTCCTGAATAATTTGAAGCAATGAATCTCGGAGGCCTTAGAAGAGATAAAAGAGGTCGAACAAGAAATAACTAAGCTCCCTGTTATCACAGACGAAAATCTTGCCGAATCAGAAGAGTGGCATTATCAGGAAAGGGGTATTATCAGAGGGAAACATGCTGAAGAAATTATCGAAGAAATCGATGCTCACATCGAAGCACGTGCGAATGAAGCGCCGTCGACTATAAGTTATATCAGCGATGCATTGAAAACCGCTTATTACGGAGCCCGATTAGTGCCATGCAAATTTCGTGATTGTTTTTACTTTTCACGACTTTTTTCTCGACTTTTTTCTCGACTTTTTTCTCGCCTTTTTTCTCGACTTTTTTCTCGACTTTTTTCTCGACTTTTTTCTCGACTTTTTTCTCGACTTTTTTCTCGACTTTTTTTGACCGCTGAACAACAGTAGAGCAGGCTCATTCTATGCTGAGAGCATGGACAATATGGCGAGCTGCAAATGCAAGTTCTGTATGGGGTAAAATACAGGTCAAAAATACGTACAAAAATAAAAATACAATATTTACATTATTTACAATATAAGTTTTAGGATAGATTTTAAAGTTATCTTATTTACTTTTAAAGCAATTTATGGGCTTGCCCCAAGATATATATGTGAACTGGTTAGCATTAAGGATAACAATTCTTATAATCTTARGTCTTCTAAAGGTTTGCTTTTGCAGCCGCCAAGCTTTTTGACCAAAAAGACACTAGGAGACCGTGCTTTTYCGGCGGCTGCTCCGAAGTTATGGAACAATTTACCTCAAGAGATACGTAACGAGAGACATTTTAATAGAT